ATCTTCTGTATTTGGGACCTTTGGAGGTTTCAGGCATCTTCCCATTTGGTCCCCTGGACTCTTTTTCCTTGTTTGTTGATTCTAACTTGTAAATAAAGAAAATATTATTTAAAAAAAAAAAAAAGGCCTTAAAGCCAAGTATACTTTCAAATTCTTCCTCTGTCGCTTGCTACAAGGTAATCTTACAGTTCTTAATCGCTTCATGCATCATTGTCCCTACTTCCTTAAATTTTATTTAAAAATTCAAGATTATGATTGAAAGGAACCTGGTACATAGTAAACAAACGAATTAGCTGGTCAAAATTAATAAAAGAAATATTTACCTCCTCAGGAATTAATAAGGCAATGGAAGTTTAGTCGTAGAATTCTCATCCTTTGATCTGAGAGATACTGGTTCAATTCCCAGTCAATGCACTTCAAACATAGAAACCACCCAATTGTCATTAGAGGTTTGCATGTTGTTATAATGTTGAATAGGTTTCATCAGAGCTTCCAGAGTAAGACAAACTACAAAATAAGGCCTGGTGATCAGTGATCAGCTTCTAAGGAGGAAAACACTATGGAACACAAAGTCTGATGTCTTTGTTGAGTGGGGAGTCAACTTTATGGTAGTTACCAACCACAATAAGGATTAATACTGTTTTCTCTAAGCAATTGGCTTCTTAAAAATAAGATTATTTATAAAGAGAATTTATTCTTCAGTCCTACATTTTGGAGTCCTGATGTGGCACTGTAGGATAAGCGCTGGACTGTTATCCTTATCAGTCACTCCTTGGAAACATTAGTGGTTGTTGTCATTGTTAAGAGCCATCAAATCGATTCAGACTCATATGACCCTGTCTGGGTTTTCTGAGGCTGTACATCTTTGCTGGAGCAGAAAGCCTTATGTTTCTCTCGTGGAGCTGCTGGTGGGCTTGAATTGCAGATATTGTGATTTACAGTCCATGATTTTATCCTACAGAGCTACCACACTCCTTATTCGTTATCTCTGCTGCTATTATAGAAGTACCACAGTAGGTGGCTTTAACAAACAGAACCAGAACCGCATTCTTTCAGAGTTTAGAAGACTAGAAGTTGGAATTCTGAGTGTTGGATCTAGGGGAAGTCTTTCTCTCTCTAATGGTCTGAGGGAAGAGTGTCTTTTCAGCTTCCTGGGTCCCTTAGGGATTGCCATATGACATGACATCTATCTCCCCTACCTCTGCTCCCTTCTCTGCTTGCTTAACTTGCTTTTTTATCTTGCAAAAGAGATTGACTTAAAACCCTGTGATAATAATACTTTATTAGCATAACAAAGAAAACTCATTCCCAAATGGGATTCTAACTCTACTATAGGGGTTAGGATGTATGATACACATTTTAGGGGGACATAAGTAATAAGTCCCTTTTCTATGGCTAACCAAATAAAGCCATTGCCACTGAGTCACTGCCAACATACATGCAGCAACTCTACAAGATGTAATATATCTGTCCTGCAGGCTTCCTGCTCTACACAGGAGCAGACTGCCACATTGTTCTTCCGTGGAGCAGCTGGTAGGTTCAAACTGCTGAGCTTTCAATTAGTAGCTAAGCACTTTACCACTGTACCACCAGGGGTCCTTCAAGTCAAGGCTACCACCATTTAAAAATGGATCGTACTGTGGTAAATGACCCTGTTACTTCAAAAATACCCTCTAAAAAAGAGCAACTATGTTGTAATGCTGCAGGATAAGCACAAGACTGCTAGCTGCAAGGTCAGCAGTTCAAACCCAGCAACTCCTCCTTGGAATCCTTATGACATGGAACTGACTCAGTGGCACTTAACAGTATGATCTAAAAGAGATATGCCCATCTCTTTGTGTGTTTCCAAGAACAGAAAAATGTTACCCAATTGTAGACAGGTCCAGTCCTAAAAGCAGATTTTTTTCTAGGTGTGACAGAGGTGGAAAAATGACGTATGGTGCTGAGGGTTAATGCGCTGCACTGCAAAGCCATTTGAACTGCAAGATCAGTGGTTGAAGCTCACCAGCCACTCCCTGGGAATCCTATACAGGGTTGCTATGGGTCAGAACAAACTCAACAGCACCTCACAACAACAACAAGGCTAGGGGAGAAAAAGTCAAGGACAAAATCACAGAATTTTCTGTAGCTGGAAGTCTAGGTTGGATGTAGAGCAGTCACTGGACAAACGTAAACTGGGAATGGTAGGGACATGTCAAAGGTCAGGGTAAAACTGAAAATCAGAAATTAAAGAGGAAACCAGGGAGCAAGTAGTTAAGAACACAGATTTGAAGCCATTCATTCAACACCTATTTAAGCTGATACCATGTTGCAGGTATTGAGTTGAGAGTATAATAGAAAATTAGACTGGCAAATAAAACCTCTGGCTTTAAGAAGTTTATTCTTGATATGGATTCAAAATCCAGTTGTGCCACTTACTGATTATGTATCTTCAGTAAGATCATATCATCTCTTCATTTATAAAATGGTATAATAATGTGTTCTTGGATTAGAAGACTCACCAAGGGGAAAAGTGAACATGATATATACACCAATTCTTCCCTAATTGATCTATAAGTTTAATACAATTCCAGTGAAAGTCCCACCAATTTTTTGTAGATAAACAAGCCTATTCTAAACTTTGTATGCAAAAGAAAAGGCCCTAGAATAGGTGAAACCATTTTTTTTTCTAAATAAGTGACAGAAATAACTCTCCCTAGCCCTAAGACTTACTATATTGTTACAGTAATCAAAACACTGTGGTTCTGAGACTGGAAGTAGAAGGTCCCTGGCTACCACTACCTAACATTCTGACCAGGATCCAAGTAGATGATGGTTCTAGAAAGAATGGGGTGGGGGTGGGAGGGTGTGCAGGATAAAGGCCAAACAAAATCCAAATTCTTAAGAAAAAAAACAGACTAACAGGACCATTTGATACCAGTCGCTTCTCGAGAGAAAGATGAGGCTTTCTGCTCCTGTAAATATCTACAGCTAGTAAATCCTATATAGGGTTGCTATGAGTGGGAACCAATTTAGTGGCATACAACCACCAACACCACCACAAAACCACATCTATATGAGACCAAAAGACCATCATTTACTCTAAATCAAAGATGAGAAGAAGATGAGGGGGCAGTAAAGCTAGAGTACTGGAAACAGAACAACCAGAACTTAATTTTAGAGAATGTTCAGTCATTGTAAAAAACGTAACAGCCACCGGATAATTTGTATAAAACTTGTCAGACAGGAACCTAATTTACTGTGTTCACTTTCACAAAACACACAAACAAACAAAACCCCAAACCCCAACTGCCATCAAGTCAATTCCGACTCCTTGTGACCACACAGGGCAGAGTAGAATTGCTCATAGGATTTCTAAGGCTGTAGTTGTAATCTTTTTTTGCTTGCTGAAAGTGAAGAGGACTTGAAACATTTACTTATGAAGATCAAAGAGCACAGCCTTCGATATGGATTGCAT